AAATAAAATCAGTTACGACGGTCGTCGAGCCTCGCACGTACCGCCACCACTATGCCACTTCAACCGTGGCTAACCAATCTCACTTCTTATAATTCATCCTTAACTTGCCTTAGAGATAATAATAGCTCCATTCCTTATATCACAAATCTAAATCCGCACTCATCCTGAGTGGCCCCATTCCACGAGATCACATTGTATCCAAACCCATGAACCGTTTCATACCCTCCTTGCACGCACATTCGCGTCTTCAACTGATACACCCATTCTGATAATTCCCCTACGAAAGTCATTTCCTCTTTTTCCTCCCAATGCTACACTGCAAGTTGAAAATATCATAGAACCTTCCGAGCCTTCTATCATAATCTGTTACAAAAGCTCAATTCTTAATCATACTGCGGGCTTGAATCCTTAGGCACCGAGTAACCTTTGAATTTACTAGGACCGTTTTTGAGAGCCACCCGCTCTGGCTTGGTCCTGAATATAATCAAATTCAAGGCTCCGCTGGCACATGAACACCCATTTTAATAAAGCACCCGACTGAATCACTTCCAAAGCCTGAACATGAGTCAATAAGGCCAACTATAGCATACCTTTATCAATTCCTTTGCTCAAATTACCACTTATGTTCTTTTCCCTTAGCTGAAATAACTCACCAATATGTCGATAACCCGAACCTCACAAGTAGATAACCATGAAACCCAATCGTAGGCGGTGGGACTCTCCCACTTAGCTTGAAGCCACTATATACAACTCTGGAACCCACCAAGATTCTTTCTTCATTGTTGACATGATCTTGTACAACCAACCCGCCAAATTCCTCGAAGCCTTCTTGTTAACCATTCCATGAACACTTTGAATCATTAGCCGCGTTCACATATTCTACCTCTCACCGGATAGCCAGTAGAATTCTTCGTAGAAGCTTCGTCAACCACGCGGTCGCTGACCTGCTCATAGGAGATAACCCACCTGGGAAAATTACATGCCGACATCTTCCAACGTCGCTGCACTGGTTACACTTACTGAAAAATCAGTAACCCATCTAAAGTCATGTTTTACCCTTCTTCATATGAAGCAACTCCTTTCTGTTACACCCAATTTCCCGCCATATGACAACCAATATTTCAAATCAAGCCCGTAGACCCAGTCACTGACCAACGTGAATCCCAATTCACTCTAAACTCCTCCCAAGGCATGTAGTCATCCTACCACAGAATCCATGTGCTAATCTGCCACTCTCCCACTTTGGTCAAACTCACTCCTTTAAGCAACTACTCAACTCTGTCTCCCACACTTGGCCTTACAGGGGTTTAATCACCACAAGACACTTCCCACATGTCCATCCCCATCCTTCGTTGCCCAGTTGTTGCCTTAAATTAAAATATATCTTTGTAGCACTTGAACCAATAGATCGTTACTCCGTCAATACAAACCTGAACATTCATGGTCCAGTTGTCTTTCCTCCGCCGGAAATAAAACACTAAATCTCTGAATCATGCATTGAGTAAACCTCCTTCCAAGTCAACCACTGCTCCAACACATAAACAAGAATCCTACCATTACATCAATATTGTGCGGTAACAACCCATGAGCATCATAGTAACCTGTGCATAGCCTCAAAGCTCTCAGAAGTACAACTACTGAGCTGAAATAACGGAATATCCTTCCACACGGCGACGATAATAGTCCAATCAACTATGCAGGGGGAAACATCCCGCACCACATCTGTAGTACCATTACAATTCCTCAAATTCCCAATTTATAATAAGAGCTTCGCGTCGCATAAGATTGAGTAGGAAAGAAACAAAGGCATAAACCTCAAAGGAATCAAATCACACGATGAGGAATCAAGAAGGGAAGTGCCCCAAACAATCCTATAGCCTCTCGAAGATAAGTACGGACGTCTCCGTACCGATCTGCAAGACTCTACTAGACTTGCTCATGACTCGTGAGACCTACATGAACCTAGTGCTCTAATACCATGTTGTCACGATCTAAAATCATTTCCTTTATACATTAAACAATAAATAATGAAATTCACAGAAATAAGATGATGTCTTTAACAAACTTAATATTGAACAATCCCATAATCATCCCAGAACTCGGCGTCACAAGTGCATGAGCTATTTCTAGGAAATCAAATGAAGTACAATAACTATTCGAAATACAAATTTGGACAGAAGGTAAATACTATACACTAGAAGAGACTATGCTGGCTGCGGGTCGCCTCGAGAGATGCAGCTCACCTAAGTCTCAGTATCATCTATGCTGATATGCCCATTAGGCCGCTAGAGGTACACGTGCCTGTGTAACAAAAATGCACAGCAAGTGTAGCATGACTACAAAAACAACGTGTACTCAGTAAGTATCCCGTCTAATCTCGAAGAAGTAGAGACGAGAGGTCGACTTCGACACTTACTAGTGGTCCAATAATAATATACCAATAATATAGTAAATAGAGGATTTTCATAAAAATGGTTGTAACTCAATAGCATGAGGCAAATAAACAATTCTTTCGTTTATAGGAAATTCCCAAATTTATTTTCATCATTTATACATTTATTTCAGGCTAGGGAGTATAATTATCAACATCTATGAATCTCAAGGCAAGCAATACAAGCATGCGCAAATCATGCCGAGGTCGTACAGCCCGATCCAACAATATTTAAACTGTGCACTGCCAGAGGGTCGAATGGGGCAAGCCATAGATGCATCTATTACCCCGCTCGCGAATCATACATGCGACGCGGTCAAATATAAATAAACAATCACCCCGCTCGCGAACCATACATGCGACGCAGGTACACATAGAATCACACACTCAAACAGTCAATCAAGACTTCATCAGGGAAACAATTATTCAAGGAGGTGTCAATTTCTCCTTTACAAGTCGAGAAAATGAAGTTTAACTCTTTTAGAAAATCATTTACCACTTCGATACGATTAAAGCAATTTAAACTATCAATAAGGTTACAATTATTACAAGTAAAGCATGCTTTTGGGTCCTAGACTACCCGGACATAAGCATAATAGTAGCTATGCACAGACTCTCGTCACCTCGTGCGTACGTAGCCCCCACAAATAGAAGCACATATCCAATAATTCACCTATGGGGACAATTTCCTCTTACAAGGTTAGAAAGGAGACTCACCTTGCTCCGAAGTTCCATAACCGGCTTCCCAAGCCCTTCCGACAACTCAAATCGATGCACCACGCTCCAAAACTAGCCAAATAATGGGCAACCAATGAAAATATACCCTAATACATATAACAACTCAATTTATATAAATTCCCAACTTCGATCTAAAAGTTGACAAAATCACCCTCGGGCCCACGTGCCCGGGTTCCGAAATATTTCGAAGATAAACTTTACCCATAACCTCACGAACTCAAATATATAATTTACTCTCAATTTCATGCCCAAATTCGTGGTCAAAATTCAAAAAATACCAATTTCTAAGTTTTCTACCAAAACCCCAAGTTTTCACTAATTTTCCATGAATTTCCATGTTAAAATACATATATATAATCCAAGTATTTAACTTGCAATATGTGGGAATCACTTACCTTGACATGGATGATGAAGATGGAGCTCCAAAATCGTTCCTAGGTCGGCTCCCATGGAGGAAATGAGATGAAGTGAGCCAAACCCATTTTTGCAAACTTATACACTGCCCAGGCGATCCTTCTTCGCGTTCGCGAGCCCACCATCGCGTTCGCGATGAACAAAATTCTCAAAAGTCATTTCCAAACTCTTCTCAGACAGCCTCTAGTATAATAGCCATAACTTTTTGTACAAAACTTCAAATGATAAATGGTTTAATATTTTGAAAACTAAACACCAAGATCTACAACTTTCATGTTTTGGTCATCTCTCAATTCCTTAAAGATTTTGAGATATAAGCTGCCAGAGTCAGCCTTGTGCAACACAAATTTCTTCTTTATCTTCCTGGACAGCCTGTAGTGTACCAGTCATAACTTTTTGTACACAAATCCAAATGCTAAATGGTTTACTTTACTGAAAACTAGACACAAAGTGCTATAATATTTATTTTTGGACCATCTCCAAATTCTTTATAGATTGTGAGATATGAGCCTCCGAAGTCAGACCTGCGTAACATAGATTTTTTTCTTCGCAAACGCGAGAACATGTTCGCGAACGCGAAGAACAAAATCCCTGAAGCCAAATCCTTCTTCGCGAACGCGAAGAACAACACCAGACACCAGCATCAACTATAGCACAACAGCCCGAAATGATCCGAAACCACCCCGAAACACACCCGAGGCCCCCGGAACCCCATCTAATCACACAAACCAGTCCCATAACATAACACGGACCTGCTCAAGGCCTCAAATCACATCAAAAAATGCCAAAACTATGAATCACACTCTAATTCAAGCTTAATGAACTTTTGATTCAAACTTCTACATTCGATATCGAAACCTATCAAATCACGTCCGATTGACCTCAAATTTTGCACACATGTCATATTCAACATTACGGACCTACTCCAACTTCCGGAAACGGAATCCGACCCCGATATAAAAAAGTCCACTTCCGGTCAAACTTCTCAAAAACTTTCAAATTTCTAACTTCAGCCAAATGACTCCAAAATTACCTACGGACCTCCAAATCCACTTCCGACTGTGCTCCCAATATCAGAATCACCATACGGAACTATTCCCAGACTCGGAATCCCAAACGGACATTGTTAACACTGAAATACACTTCATCCCAACTTTATAAAATTCACCCAAAAATGCTAACTTCCACAATAGGCGCCGAAACGCTCCCGGGTCATATAAAACCCGATACGGCCAAGTCCAGAATTATCATACGAACCTGTTGGAACCTTCAAATCCTGATTCCGAGGTCATTTACTCAAAAATCCAAATCCTTGTCAATTCCTCCAACTTAAAGCCTCCGAAATGCGAATTCTCTTTCCAAATCAACTCCGAACTTTCCGGAATTCAATTCCGACCATGCATACAAGTCATAATACCTGAAATGAAGCTGCTCAGGGCCTCAACCTGCTGAACGATGCGCTGGTGCTCAAAATGACCGGTCGGGTCGTTACATTTTCCAACTAAAGTATCCCATTCTTTCCATGTACCTTTGAGGCTGTCCCATTTGTTCTTCAACTTAACTTTATCATAGTTTCTTCCAGTTTTGTCATTAAACTTTTGCACCAGATTAGACCATCCTAATCTACTGAAGTGAGTTCCAGGACGAGTTCCTGCTAAAATTTCTTCCACACATATATTTAAAAATAGTTCTGTAGTTTCTGCATCCCATTCAGCCTTCTCGGAGTTGTTATCCAGTGTCATTTTCTTGCTCATTTTCTTTCATGCATTTAGAACACGTGGTTAATAATAATATTGAACATGTGGTTAATAATAATATTAAACAAATAGAGAACTAAATAAAAAAAAAAAGAGAAAGATACAAAAAATAAGAGCATCAAGGGAAAAATTAACTATTAATCACTCATATTATTAGAAATCAGTGTTATCCTTGGTACATGCAAGCAAGTTAAAAAAGAATAAAAATAAAAGTACATACTAGATATTGCGTATAATAAATTGGTACACTACAAAAATAACATACCTTATGAAAAAAGTACTTGTACTGGTTGTTAGTTTGTTATTTTAAAGAGGAATATGAGACAAAGAATAAGAATCTACACAAGAAAAAGGGAGAAGAAGTCTATTTATAGTAATAGATAGGACTTTTCATTTTGTATAAAGTATTCAAGGAGATGAATCTATTAAAGTTACTGGGAGAATTCTAGGAGATTTATTAATTTAGTGAAATAAAAAAAAAATAAGATTAGTCAAAGAAATCAAAAACAAGAAAAGTCAAAAAACAATTTGAAAAGTTACAAGATGATTCATATATTTGATATCTTTAATTTTTAAAATAATGGTAGAAATTAAAAAAAGAAGAAAAAAGAACTATTCAAGCGAAAGAAGCAAAAACCAATGAAAAGACAAAAAACGAATTTGAAAAGTTTACATGATTCATGTATCTGATATATATATATATATATATATATATATATATATATATATATATATATATATATATATATATATATATATATATATATATATATATATAAATTTATGGTGAGAATAGTTTTGTCTTGAATAAATTAATTTTCTGCTTCTGCTTCTGCTTCTTGGAAGAAGCTAGAATTTTCTGCTTCTTCCCAAAAGCAGAAAAACTGCTTCTGCTATTGGCCAAAAGTACTTTTTTATTTTGGCCAAACACATTAAATTTTTCAAAAAGTACTTTTTTGACCAAAAAAAAAAGTACTTTTAACCTCCGAGAAGCTTGGCCAAACAAGCTCTAAGTTTGGCCTTGAACTTGGTGGTCCAGTTATTGGTTGATCTTAGAAACATCAGATTAAAAGGGATTGAAATGTTCTACTTTGAGAGATAAGATGCACGACTGTTATCTATTTAATACTATAAAAAAAAATGGACTGCATTAAAATCAGTGGGCACACCGATGATAAAGATGATCATCAACTCTATTATTTTTATTGAGTTCAAAAAATACATTCCATGATTTGAGAGTAGCGGCCCTCTGACATAGTCCTCGATGAAGTTAGGAACCATACATAGAGCCCATTTGGCCAAGCTGCTAAAGCTATTTATTCTTAAAAGTACTTTTTTTTTAAAAGTGTTTTCTCCAAAAGTATTTTGGGAAAAAATAATTTGTGTTTGGCTAATTCATTTAAGAAGTAACATTTGGTAAACAAATTATGTTTGGCCAATCTTTCTAAAAAGTGCTTTGAATATCAAATTACCAAAAAGGATAGTACCAAGATCTTATAATTATTTTAAATTGAAAAATGAACTTAATTTTTTATCGTAAGAGACTTTATTATTTTTTATCTTATTTAATTAAAATATAAAATATAAAGTAAACATACATATTAAAGATTTAAATCAAATAACATATATAGTTATACCAAAGCATATAATATTATCTAGTATAATTACTTATTGTCATCATTCAATATGAATTAGAAGTTTATTCCATAAATTACTATATATAGATAATCCACCATGAAATAATAAGCAAAGTCACTCACACATGATAATATTTTTCAACAATTTCATCTCTAGTTCTATCACACAACGCCTCCATATTACTAGAACATTTACCTTGCATTTCTAAAGGAATACCATAAGGCCCATCTCCTTCCTCAATCTTTGCAGTAATGTCTTCATTAGCATAATAGTTGAATTCCTTATCGGTAGAAGAATGTTCAAAATTTGATCACGCCCAACTATGCCCTCTAAAAAAGGACTCTGCAAACGTTGCAAATATAACCCGAGTATTACGCCCAGGGTCGAATCCACAGAGAGTTAACCTATCAATCACTATCTTTAGACCCAATAAACTCTTCAGAACCAGCTTCCCAGATGTTTGAATCACAGTTGAAGGTTGCTTTACTAACTATGATTGCAAGTAAATTAAACTGCTGTAAACTAAAATGCTAAGGTTGTAAACAATGATGAGAAGAAGTTAAGGCAATGATTTCCCCTATTGAAAGAATCCCTTCTGTTTATGCTCATACAAATTTACCAACACATCTCTATTAATCATGAACGCTCATCTTACCGTAAATCTCTCCCAAGTAATCACAGTAATATACTAATTGCACTCTCCCGAGATACACTAGCTTACTTTATTTAGCACAATTCACTTTAGATTACACCAAAGGCTTCGTTATCCCTAATCCCGCCTTTAAACCCGCAATTATAGATTCCTCTTATACTTTGGGAGTGGTGTTGTTCAACAATAACCTAAATATGCACTCTTTTCCAAGTTATGCACACTAAATAGGCACAGCTAATTGAGGATCCTGTCAATTAATTACAACAAGCACAAAGTTGAACAAATAGAGATTGAAACTAGCAATTTGTATTCACACAAACAAGATGTTCATCCCCCAATAGGTTCCATCAAAGCCTTAGACAAAGGATTTAGCTACTCATGGCTATGGGAAAACAAACTAAGATAGAATTCATCATAACTAGCAATAAAAATCAAAGAAAAGAAGAAAGATGTTTTGGGTGATCTCTCACAATTGTTTTCCTTGCCAAGATACTCTAAAATTCAATACATGCCTCTCTTGGGCGAAGTCTTGTATTTAAAATAGGGTTTAGGTCTAAAAATCCCGTATTTTACACTTTAGTCCCTGAAGTTTTCTGCTTCCGCCGCGGTTCTGCCGCGGTCGCGGTCAAACTGCGGCCAAATGCCTTCTCTGAATCTTATTTTATCCGCAGCTATCTTCCACCGCGGTTCTACCGCTGTCGCGGTGGAACCGCGATCAAACCATTTCTCTGAATCTTCAGGCCTGTTTTGCGTGGTTTACTTGGGAAATTTCACAGTTGGCCTTCCCTGATCATATATCACCTGCAAATCATGAAAAGCACTAATAAGAGCATTTTGTTATCACTTTTATCATCAAAACTATACAAGAAGGTGGTTATTTAAGGCGTGATTATAGTTTAATTCACCTATTATCAGTCGTCGAATGAAATTACGTATAGCCATGGTAGTTGTAACAAGATGAGTCTAAGTGTCAAACTTGAAAGATGGCATTGAACGTAAAATAGAAATAATTTCAATTATATAAAAAATTAATTGTAAAAGAAATAGTTTAGTATGTATAAATTCAAATTCAAAAAGAGTAACTAATTATTAACAACACATAATTTAAAATTTAAATTAAAAAAAAAAACTAAGTATCACCTACCCTAACTGACTTTGTACTAAATTGCCAAGTGACCTATTGTGAGACTGTCGCATGGTTTAATGTGGATGCATTTTCTTCTTCTTTTAATAATATATAGATTATGCGATGCAATTGTAAATTTATTACCTATTTATAGGTAATTTTCACAAATTAGATTTGATAACTTTTTTAAAGATTTGGTAATTAATGGCCTATAACAGAAGAAATTATAAATAATTAATTGTAGGAAGAGAATTGATAATCCAAAGAAGGATGTAGATAATTTGCTTTAGTGTGAAAAAAGAAGAAAATAATTTGAAAAGTTACAAAAAATTACACAAAGAAAAAAATCAAAAATAAGAAAAGTCAAAAAAGAATTTAAGAAGTTACAATATATTCATATATATGATATCTCTAGTTTTAAAAGAAGGGTCGAAACTAGAAACAAAAAATAAAAGAAAAAGCTTAAGCTAGTAAGAGATAATTTGAAAAATATAAATTTATGGCGATGATAGTTTTGTCTTGAATAAATTAATTTTCTGCTTCTGCTTCTGCTTCTCTGCTTCTTCCCAAAAGCAAAAAAATTGCTTCTGTTGCTGGCCAAAAGTACTTCTTCGTCTTGGCCAAACAACTTAAATTTTTCTTAAAGTACTTTTTTGGGAAAAAAATACTTTTGACCTCACCAAAGCTTAGCTAAACGGGCTCTTAATTTGAAAACTAACTGTATTTTTATTTATCAAATTTTATGTCATATTTCAGTTTTAGTTTTGTCCACAATATATTAAGGATGAGGAGGTAGAAATATGTAAGAGTAAATTAATGAAGCCTCGGTATTTATAAAAATATAGAGCTGTTATGTCTAGGGCAGTTGGAAATGGGTAGGCCGGATAAAATGTTTAGGCCGGTTAGGTAGTTTTTGCAACTAGTTTGGGTAATTTTAGGTAATATTTTAGGCCTAAATATGTATTTTTGTAGTTTTCCCTTAAAAGGCGCTATGTCTAGTTATTTATATGGGATCATATTTTCAAAGAAATAATGTGAAATATAGACATTATATTAGCACAAAAGTGAAGACAAAAAATAAAAAATTATCCCAGAAAGCAAAGTGAAAGAGACACGTGGCAGCTGAACACTAACTCCTCATCCAATCATCAACAAGCACACACATTATTTTATCACACCCCCAAACCAAAACCAGAACTCCACTCAGCCACAGATCGACTTTATCCACCACTTTTCCATTTCAATGGCCGGTTTAATGGAAACTATTGCAGTTGCTCGCGCCTCTGCTCTGCCGTCGGTATCGTTGGCTCCTGTCGCCGGTTCTTCCTTCTCCGGCCGTCGGTCCTCTGTTAGATTTTCTGAATTCAAGGGGCTTAAGATCCAGCAGACTCGTTCATCATCAGTGTCCTTCAGCTCATTTTCTAAATCTGTTCCGCGTAGAGGAGGAATTGTTTGTGAGGCTCAGGACACTGCCGTTATAGGTCGTTATTTCTTGTCATCCCTTTAAATTTACTGTTTATTATATTGCTATTTATGTTTGCTGAATAGTTGAGATTTTTTCAATTTTTTCAATTTTTTTGTGCTTATGCTTTTTTGAGCTGATGGTCTATTGGAAACAATCTCTAACTCCACAAATTAGGGGTAAGGTTTGTGTACACGCTACGCTTCACAGACCTGCTACGTGGGCTTACACTTATTGTTGTTGTTGTTGAAATACTTAAATACCCAACGAGTATTGTAAATGGTAGAGAGCCTTGTCATTGTGGCGGAGCCAAGTATAAGTAAGGGGTTCAATTGAATCCCTTTGTTAGAAAAATATGCTGCACAAATTGGGCAAAAATGAATTTTTTTTAAGAATTGTTGGATCCTCTTTGACATAAGAGAAGAGTCTACTCTAGGGGGTTTGAATGTGCTTTAGGCCACAAGTTCAAATCCTAATCGTGACATTCTAGTATTAATTTTGAATCCTCTTGTATAAATTTCTAAGTTTTACCACTAGCTATCATGATTCACTGAGATTCAGCCATCTACAACTGCCACTGTCAATTATTTACCGGATAATATTACAATGTTAAATTTGATAAAAAGTCAGTTCCAGGACATTCAAGTTGATAGTTCAACTGCATATAAAGAGTAAATCAAGTTTCTATGAACAGAGTGAAAATCAAAGTGAGGAGTGGAAGGGCAACTAGAATTACCGGATGCTTGTAAATGAATTAAAGTAAATCCATTACTGTGAAATGGGAAAATTAGTTTGGAGAGTGTAAAGGCTAGTAACATCTACTAGTTTAAGAAGCTTGAGCAAACTATAAGTAAAAGAAAGAAGTTTAATGACTCTTGGAAAGGAGGTCAATTAGATGATAACTAACTCTGAATAAGCAACTATTGCTTAGATACTCTGATACTTTCTCTTTGACTTTGTGGAGCTACTTCAGATTTTGGGAATCAGTGTAGTTTGCTTCATTCCGTACTTACCTTCATTCTTCACCCAAAAGGGGATGAATGACTTGTGCTTTTTGTATGAGTGCAGGGGGTGCACTTGTAATATAAATCGTCCTAGCTAAAATAGTTTCATACTGTGTTGTCAAATTTTCATTGTCGGCCTTCTGACTGATTACAAGGAGAAATAACTAATATATTCTCAAAAGGAGTAATAACTAATATAATGCATCAGTTTCCTTTTATTGTTAATTTTCGGTTGGTGTGTACTAGCAGAATGCAAAACATCTCGGGCTGCTAAAGCAGTTCGTTTCTCAGCATCTCCATTATTTTGTCAGCTTCTTTGTGTGTTTAACATGGTCACTGGAAAATGCAGTGCCTCCTGTTAATGATCAAACATGGGAGTCACTTGTGATTGGGTCTGATGTGCCTGTTCTAGTTGAATTTTGGGCTCCATGGTGTGGTCCATGCCGAATGATTCACCCGACAGTTGATGAACTAGCACAGGAATTTGCTGGCAAGTTTAAATTCTACAAGGTGAACACAGATGAAAGTCCTGCCATTGCAACCAGATATGGGATCCGAAGTATCCCAACAGTCATGATTTTCAAGGATGGAGAGAAGAAAGATACAGTTATTGGTGCAGTCCCCAAAACTACCTTGACGACTTCCATAGAAAAGTTCTTGTAAAATGTTACATATGTAGATATGTTCTTTGAGAATTTAACCATCTTTTATTTATATTATCACTCTTTGCCTTTGGCGCAGCAAGAATTGACATGATCAAACCTGAGATGCGCCTGTATATAGTTGTGTTATGCTATGTTTCCTCTTCGGCATTATGTTAGTTATCTATGTTTCTAAAATACTCGCTCATTAACTGGTATTTTTGTGTCCGGAAAAGGGTCAAAAATACCCTCCTACTATTCGAAAATGTTCACATATACTTCTCGTTATACTATTGGTCCACAAAAGCCTTTGACTTTATAAAATTGGTGCAAAAATACCCCTTTGCTGATAGGATCCTCCACTATCACAAAATTATCCCACGGCCTAACATATCACTGAGGTGAATGTCACATGGCATGCTACCTTATGACATATCATTGAGGTGGATGTCACGTGGCATGCTACCTTATCGCACCTATCTCATTTTAACCCTCCCCTACTTCTTCCACCACCACTTCCCTCTTCACCCAAACACCACCATCACCTCCTCCTTCACCATGCACCTATTCTTCCACCCCCATCAAACCACTAGTCCTGACCACCATTCTTTCACCAAAAATCAGAAAATGTCATTCTTTCACCAAAAATCAAATTGAATCGAAAAGTTTGGTTTTTTTAATAGACTAAATCATATTAAATCAAATGGTTAGCAAGCTTCTTTGACAAGTTTTTGATAGACATGTTTAATTGGTTTGAGCCAGTCTGTTATGTTTTTTACTCAAATGATGTGTATATGTACAAATTATGCATATAATAAGATTAAACTCATTCTAAACTCACTTATTATAGATCTTGAAGTCACTTCTAATATTATATATAGCGATAGTGCTAACTCAATAGCAAAGCAGAGTTGGCCACTGAGAATATGTTCTAACTTCTAAGCCGCGCCTACTCCTTTAAAACCCCTCTAGACTTGGACCATGGGCTAATGCCTTTTTTCTTGTTATTCCTTCTCCTATAATCTACCCAGCTTTTGTAACATATATAGTTAAACTCTCTACCTTAATTTTGTTAATGTTATAATTAAGTTTTTATCACTTTTTCGGTTTAAAGTTGATATAGGACTCTATGATACTAGTAGTTATTAAGTTAAAGATGCAGCTATTCCCATTCCACCAATTAATGTTAATTTCAAGTAATTGTTTTTTGAAGTTTGTTTGGGTCGATGAAAAATCCTTTTCTTCCTACTGGCCTCTATCTTCCTTCTAGCTTGATTACAATTCGGAAAAAATTTAGAGTTTAGAAAAATTTTCTATGCCTACCCACTGAGGTAACACCCCACTTCAATTTTGATTCAATATGAAATTAATTTTAATTTTTATTTTAAAACTTGTAATCTTATATCTCCATTTGTAATACCCTCACTTCCAATCTCATAATTCTTCTTCCCCAAAGCGATTTTCACGATTCTATCCCCGAAACGACTTACCGTCATGAAAACATAATTATAATATTTAAACCAAAAATATCTACCGTATAAACAAATAAATTAAGCATGTGTTGGTAAGTTGTAAAGCTTGAAATTAGTCTAATTGTTTGCAAATTGATATGAATAAAAATGTATATAACTTGTTTTCCCTCAATAGTATGACATTAATTAAAATTTTCATTATAATATATTTTTTTTGTTGGGGGGGGGGGGGGGGGGTTTTCATTTTTGGCCTTTAAGAGGTTTTTGCCTTTTTGGGCTTCACTCAATCCTTTGCTATAAATAACTTTCTATCTGATTCGGCATTTTTGGGTCTCATTACCAATCACACTTTTCATTTATATTATCTTCCATTCACTCATTTTCTAATTCCTACCAACACTACCCTTTTTCCTCTGTAGCGGCTCCCTTTCATTCTCTGAGGGCATTTTCATCTGTCGGTGGTATTACCTTTTCCCTTCTTCTTTCTCATTTTTGATTTCATTTGTTTTCTTACTGCCTCTTTGATCTCGTTTAATGCATCTTTTTTAATGCTTGAGTTTGATTATAGTTCTTCTTTATTTTAAATTTCAGCGAGAAGTGTTTTGGCATTCTTAATTGATTAATACTATGTTAGTTTTCTGTTTTATTCAAGATTTTCCCCTTCCCGAAATAGAAAGTGCGGAATTGCAGTTTGATCATTCGATTTCAGGGTACACCTTAAATTGGAGCTATGATTTTACATATCTGTGGTTAGAAAATCTATCAGTAGTTTTTTAATCCTAGCATTAAAAAGGATGTAAAATGAGGAAATAACTCGAAGAAATAATGTTAAAATGCCTGCAGAATACTGAAAACCTGATATTTGGGCGTTTGGCATCTTTTCTTGTATGGGAATAGAAAGGAAAATTTTGTTACTCTTCATTTGTTGCCACTAACCCCTTTTGGCTAATTAAGAGATTAATCTGACTCTCTCATTAGAAGGGGAGCCTTGGAGCAACGGTTAAGTTGTCTTCTGTGTGGCCTGTGTAGGTCATGGGTTCGAGCCCTGGAATCAGCCATGTATATTAGGATATGCTGCCTACATTACACCCCCTTGGGGTGTGCCCTTTCCGGACCCTGCGTGAACGCGTGGTGCTTTGTGCACCAGGCTGGCCTTTTAATTTGACTCTCTCATTAGAATCCTGTGCGCTATTTTGGTTTTGGAGCTTTTGTAATGAGGCATTTAGAATAGAGCACTTTGACAACTACTACTATGCCTCAATGCCAAACTAGTTATGGCCGAAAGTGGATCAAAAATCCATTGAATTTGAAGTTTGGTTTCAAAAATGACATGAACACCAGTAAATTCTCCCAAGTTATTAACAAGAAACTGGAACAGTAACACGGCGATATCTTGAACCCTATTTTCAAATGTAAACCGGAAAATCTAAATGTTCAGTCTGTAAATCTATCCTAAAAGCATCATTATAGGTCGAGAATGTATATTTGTATGAAGAATATTTACTATAGGTTGAGCATTTATCATGTATCTTTCCTTCTTATTCTAGGGTACTGCTTCCCCGGACTAGGTAAGAGCTAGGATGTGGATAAGCAATTTAACTTGTTTATGAGCTTCCAACATTCTTGCACAAAACATTTCTCCAAAAAAATATTATTCTTCAATTAATGGCAACACAAATGATACATGCTCAATGTTTACTGAAGATTTTGGCCTATAACAATGTTTTTAGAATAGATTTACACACTGCATATTCAGGTATTTCTTCTGATCTGGACCAGTTAGTTTGACAGACTGGACATTTAGGATTTTCTTCTAATCCTGGTGTATACTCTTTTATATTTAGTGAACACAGAAATGAAAACAGAATTGGTACTTGGGTGTTGCGCTTGGTTTGGGGGGGGGGGGTACCATCGTTTTTATGTTATCTGGCATGGCATTATATTTCCATCTGATTCCTTTCATTTCTATGTGTGCCTAAAAAGAATATTGAGAATGACTAGGACACATGATAGTTTCTCACAGAAGTGCATTTTTCAAATCCATTTATCCAAATGGAGTGTTTGGGTGGTTAAGCTGATAATCTAGGTTTATCTATTTAAATTTGGGAAGCAACAAGCCTTTTTTCTCTTTTTTATACAACTTGAACTAGTAAGTAAATCTTTCATTGATTGGTTCAGAAAGGACAGACTCAAGCTAAAAGAAATGAAACATTGTAGGGCTTTGTTTAGTGCTCGAATGGAGGGTCTTTAAATGTGACTAATGTTTTGTATCCAATCCATGCCGCTTACTTTCATACTCTCACTCCTATTTAAAGCTCAAAAATAAAGAAAAAAAGGAGAAAACAATGAGATGCTTTCCTGGTTATCTTTTTAATTTTGCACACCAAATGAATTAACGATCGATTCACCAAATCGGAAGTTGGTTACTCCCATTTGTACATATCATGTAGTTTTGCTGATAAACATAGATGTTTCATTTATGTGGTGCATTTTTTCAGGTGATTAATTTATTTTGGAATTTTGTCTTTTAACAGCTTTCATGCCTATTACCCGTGTTGGATCCGATGAAGATGTTTCTTTTAAGAAGAGAAACTCAGTTACCTCTGAAATTGCGGCGTCCTGTTTTGATTGCAACATCTGCCTTGACTCAGCACATGATCCCGTAGTCACACTCTGCGGTCACCTCTACTGCTGGCCTTGCATTTACAAGTGGATCCAGATTGAGAGCTCTACACCAGGATCCGAAGAAAAACCTAAATGTCCAGTGTGTAAAGCTCACATCTCGAACTCCTCACTGGTGCCTCTCTATGGCCGTGGGACATCATCACAAGAGTCTGAATCCAAGAAGTCTCAAGTTAACATGGACATACCTCATAGGCCTCAAGCGATTGGGACAATCGCACCGCATAATTCACTGTCTCCAACTTTTCACGTAAATCAGCAATTTCATCAATCTTCTGTCAATCCTCCACAACGGTCATTTCAACATTACCGCCCATACTTACCCCAAGCCTTTGGTAGCTATGCAGCTATGGCTCCGTCTAGCTTTGGGGGCACTGCAGTGACCAGTTTGTTCAGCCCAGTGGCCGGTGTATTTGGAGAAATATTTTCTGCGAGAATGTTTGGAAGCTCAGGCGCAAGATTAATTGCTTATCCTCATCCCAGCCCTTACCTCATCCGGGGAAGTGGTAGCCCTAGAGTGAGAAGGCAAGAAATGCAGGTGGACAAATTTCTTAACAGATTGTCCATCTTTCTTTTCTGCTGCTTTATCTTGTGTCTCCTCCTGTTTTGAGGGTCATATAATGTTCCTCTTCGTCATACGTATGTACAAAATATGTGACTGTGCTTACAACAGTCTGGGAGTAATTCATAGTAGAAAATCAGACTAATTTAGAGATCTAATAGAAATAGCTTTACACCATGCAAATGTTGCTTTATTCCCTTTTCTTTATGCCTTTTTGGCAAAAGGATATATTGTTCTTCAGAAGGTGGTAAGACAATTAAACATGCTCTGTGTTTGTTCTATATTCTGTTAATGCATTAGTTGCCATTGCAGATGATAATCATTTTGCTTGTCTTGGCCCGACATTTGTTCTATAATAGAACTTCGGGTTTTTTCGTATGTATACGAAATTTTAAACTTATTTACCTGGTTTTAGCTAGATTTTCTGTTTACAAAAAGTAACTAAAGTTTTTTATAAAATATATACAAATCCAGTCAGAAGCTACAATTTGTATACAACTTGAATATAATTTTTTGTTGTACATAATCTGGTCAAAAGTTGCAATTTACATAATTTGTATCCAAATATGTTGTATATTTTGAATGTTGCTTATATCTCACATACAAAATATATAGTACTGTCATGAATAGAATTGTACTTAGAATGAATGTCTATCTTTTAGAGAGTTTGTTACTTCGTGGGTAAGTCATTTTTCCCCTATGAGTAGTGGGGTTTTACCCCATTGTAATTGTTCTAAAAATCAATAGAATTCTCTCTTTGTTTGCAATATACTTATTTATTGATTCATTTCACGTTATCAGCACGAGACTTTGCCGTCTCAAGAAGCTCTTTGAGAAGACTAAGATATAACTTTTCTCCTCTTTTAACTATGATTGATGTTATGAAACGAAAGTTCGTTGCCCTTGAAATTTCGGGCAAGAACTATATGTCATGGGTGTTGGATGCTGAAATCTATTTAGATGCAATGGGTCTTGGAGACACCATTAAAGATAAAAATAAAGCATCTACCCAAGACTGTACCAAGGCCTTGATTTTGATGAAGGGTTGAAAATAGAATATCTCAAAATCAATAGAATTCTCTCTATCTTGTTTTGTGGAATGGTTTAAAGGAAAGATATGACAACTTAAAGTTGGTCACACTTCTACAAGCACGATATGATTGAGCTCATCTGAGACTCCAAGACTTATCTATTTCTGAATACAATTCAGCAATTTTCAGAATTACTTCTAAATTGGAACTCTATGGAGATAGTAACTGACTATGATATGCTTGAAAAAACGTTCACAACGTTTCATGCCTCCAATATGGTCCTACAACAGCAGTACCGAGAGAAAGGTTTCAAGAAATACTCTGAGTTGATTTTTTTTCTCCTTGTGACTGAACGAAACGATGACGTGCTCATGAGAAATCACGATAACCGACCCACTGGGTCTACACTACTGCTTGAAGTGGATGAGGTGTATTCCCATTATGCAAAGCGTGAAAAAAGTCGTGGCCCTATTCGTGGCCGTGGCCAAGAAAGAAATTTTTCTAGTGTTAATCACTCCCCAATGAAAATTAACCACCAAAAGTGGGAAGGGAATGATGAGAAGCCAAAGGGTTCAGAAAGTGAATGCTATCGTTGCGGTGGAAAAAGGCATTGGGCAAATATTTGTCGTACACCAAGACATTTGGTTGAGCTTTATCAAGCATCTCTAAAGAATAAAGGCCCTGAAGCAAATTTTGTCTCTAAGTATGAATTTGACATCACCCACTTAGATGTGGCAGACTTCGTTAAGCACCCTGATGGAAAAATAGACCACTTGATCGGTGATGGATACGTGGTTAAAGTGATTGATGTCACGACCCAAACTAACCCTGTCGTGGTGGCGCCTATCGTGGTACTAGGCAAGCCGACACATTTCCAAAACAAAATGATATTTTTCATTAAAAGACAAATCCCAAGCGATATAATATAAAAAAGTTAATTAAGGAATTCAAATCAAAACAAAAGTGCAGAAAAAGAAAGCCCGACATCGGGGTGTCACTAAGTCATGAGCAACTACCACAACTGTTCCGAAATATAACAAGACTAACATAGTCTGAGAGTAGCCAAAATACACTAAAGGGAAGATAAAGAAGGAGAAAAGCAGGTCTGCGATCGCCAGGCAACTACCTCGCTCTCTCCGATGAAAGTCAGCAAATGGAATAGTCAACAGCCGCTACCGTGGACAGAGATATCTGGATCTGCACACAAGGTGCAGGGGGTAACGTGAGTACACCAACTCAGTAAGTAACAAGTCCAAACTATGGACTGATAGGTAGTGACGAACTTAACCTCAACAAGTAATAGAAATAAACTTTGCAGGAAAAGTAGGCATGCTATCAGTTCAAGTATACAGCTCAAGCAGTAAAATAAATATAGATCTGAACAATGTGAGATATAAAGATCAGCTAACTCTATATGCCAATGCACAAAATGTATGAAATGCACCATGTGCTCCCACTCTCAAGTGCGCAACCACTCGGTACTGCATATGGCCATCCAGCCCAGGGAAATCCATCCCAGAACATATACAACACTAACTGCAAGTCATCCAGTACCGAGGAAGAAGGGTAATCCAACACTGAGGAGAAAACCATCTCCAGGTATATGTGTATATATATATATATATATATATATATATATATATATATATATATATATATATATATATATATATATATATATATACATACTCAATCACTCGGTACTGCATATGGCCATCCGGCCTAGGGAAATCCATCTCGGAATATATTCATCGCTGACGATAAGTCACTCGGTACCGAGGAAAAGGGTAATCCAACCCTGTGGAGAAATCCATCTCCAAATATCAATACTTCGGACAAATCCATGTCCGGGGAACTCCATCCCTCAATAATATCATCTGCACTCACTGGGGGTGTGTTACAAACTCCGGAGGGGCTCCTACAGCCCAAGCGCTATCATAATCATCAACATAACCGCTGCGGCGTGCAGCTCGATCCCATAACTGTCACTCGTAATCAGGCTCTCAGCCTCACCCAGTCATCACTCTCCAGTCTCACACACACGGGCTCACAATGCCATGAAACTAGCCCGAAACAATGATATGATGTGCCAAATAATAACAACTGAGATTGAGACATGATATGATATGCATCAATAAGACTGAGTACATAATATCAATGAAACTAATGAGATGACAGCAAGAAACGACAACTCGGGTCTCAACAATATCGGCGTGAAGCCCTAACAGGATATCTAGCATGATTTATAGCTCATTTACTTAATCACATGATAGAAACACGGATATCAACAAGAAAGAGTCACTAAACGCTACCATGGAATGAACAAGGCCAAAATTCTCACGGTGCACGCCCGCACGCCCGTCACTTGGCATGTGCGTCACCTCAATACTAATCACATAACACATAGTTCGGGGTTTCGAACCCTCAAAACCAAGTTTAGAAGCGTTACTTACCTCAAACCAAGCCAAAATCCTACTCCGCGACGCCTTTGCCTCTCAAACCGGCCTCCAAACATCCCGAATCTAACCAAAAGCAATAAAAGGCAATCAATCTAGGCCAAGGAACCAATTCCACATGAAAATTTACTTAATTGGACACAAATCCCGAAATTCACCAAAAAACCCGATCCTCGGGCCCACGTCTCGGAATCCGAGAAAAATCACAAAACTAGAAAGCCCATTCACTCACGAGTCTACCTATACCAAATTCATCAAAATCCGACATCAAATAGTCCCTCAAATCCTCAAATCAAACTCTCCAAAATCCCAAGCCTTAACCCCTCATTTGCACCCCTAATCTTCACTAATTACATAATTTAACAACGGGAAATCATCACATATACGAGTATTAGGGTTCAAGCAACTTACCTCACTGGTAATCCCTTGAATTCCTCCTCAAAATTGCTCCCAAAATCTTCAAAGCCGACTAAAAATGGTGGAAAATGAACCAAAATTCGTGAAGTTCACAATTTATACTTTCTGCCCAGAGATACCGCATCTGCGACGCCATACCTGCAAAAAATCCATCGCAGGTGCAGTTCCAACTTAAATCCTCAAAATCCGCTTCTACGTTCACATTGTCGCACCTGTGGTCTCGCAGGTGAGCTCCACTATTCGCACCTGTGGCTCCTGCCTACCTCAGCCTTGGCCACATCTGCAGCTCCTTCTACGCTTCTGCGGGCTCCCACCTGTGGTCCCCCACTCCGCAGGTGCGGTTATGACAACTGAGTTCAACTTCAGCAATTCCTCAAATTCCAACCTTGTTCTGTCAACCACCCCAAATCAACCCGAGGCCCTCGGGACCTCTACCAAACATACCAAAAATTCAAATATGAACATACGAACTTAGTCGAACCTTTGGAACACTCAAAACAACATCAAAATATCAAATTACCCTCGGATTCAAGCCTAAGAACATTTAAACTTCCAAATTCCGCAAACGACGTCGAAACCTAACAAATCACCTCTGAATGAACTGAAATTTTACACACACGTCACAAATGACACTACGGACCTACTCCAACTTCCGGAATTCTATTCTGACCCCGATATCAAATTTTCCACTGCCGACCAAAATCGTCAAATTTCCAACTTTCGCCAGTTCAATCCTAATTCTACCACGGACCGCCAAATCATATTCCGGACGCGCTCCTAAGTCCAAGATCACCTAACGCAGCTAACGGGACCATCAGAATTCACATCCGAGATCGTTTATACATAAGTCTACATCCGGTCAACTTTCTAAACTTAAGCCTTCCCAAAAGAGACAAGTGTCTCAAATCCTCTCTGAATCCACTCGGGACCCGAACCAACTGACCCAACATATCATAATATAGTTGAAGGACACAAAAAGAAGCAGAAATGGGGAAACAGGGCTATAACTCTCGAAACGACCGGCCGGGTCGTTACAATTGAGTAGTTTGTTTATTTTATTTTTGCCTATTTGTAGCTAGTGAATAAGCATCATGTAATTACAGTTCTTTACATGTGTAGTAGTTATTAAAATCAATTAGTATTATTTATTTTATGGAATAGTGTTAGTTTGTTTTGATTAAATATAGTTCTAGTATTCATTTTAATCAATGTTCCAATTTGCTTAGTCTTCTCTAAAACATAGTATGCAAATTAATTTACAGAATCAAACTAACTTAGAGATTGTTTTATTAATAGAATAATATGACTTATTATTATCATAGACGTTGTCTTCTGTAGTACTTGCAATATTTTTTTTAATAGAGCATAGATATTTAAATAGTGAAAAT